CACACACACACACACACACAGCCCTCAGGTCAGTTTAAACTCTGTTGGAGGGTGGGGGATTTGGGGTCTCCTCCTCCTCTGCACTGAGCTCTGTGGTCTCTCATCATCAGGTACAGCACCGCCGTCACAGCGTTCTTCTTCTCATGTTCCAAGCTCACATATTAGACTCAGTTTAGTTAACATTAGATTAGTTTTGCTTTAACATTAGCTGGATATTTGCTAACTATAATGTTAACTATATTTAAAGTGAATAAACACTCACACACTTGCCAACTTTCTCAATGCTACTGCTCTGGATAACTGTTTTTGTCATGTAATTGGATTACACCTAAAGACCTGGCTATGTTGGGTGTCCCACCCCGAGGCACACAGCTCGTGACTAGGCCAGGGTATTGTCACTGATTTCTTGAATCGATTCGATTTGAATCGGGGAAATTTTGCCCGAGTCAGAAATATTACGATCACGTATCAGCACATTTCCATATTTTCATATCTATAAAAAGAAAACTGACACTTGCAAGACGTTATCAAAGCTGTGAGCATCACAGCAGAGGCCTCTGTGCCAAAGTAGCTGAGGATAAAACAGAAAAACATGAAGGAGATTTATCTGGCCTGGATTTTATAAAAATATTCTGCAGTAGATCAAAAACTAAAGAAAACCATGAATCAACATCTGAACGTTACCTGATGCTGCTGACGTGAAGCAGAGCAAAGTTAGAGGTTTGATTACAGACACAGCTGAGAGTTTTGCAATTTTGCATCATTTTAAAAAGTTTAAATGTGATTTGGGAAACAGAGAGAGAGAGAGAGCTGTGCATGAAGTGTGATTTTATCCTGGTGGAAGCAAAACAGTAAAAGTCAGAGTGAGTTCATGACGATGTTTATGTGAAGCGTAGTTTGGATCTTCTTTGGCTGCTGGTTCAGTCAGTAAACCTGCAGCTTCAGAATCAGCACAGAAACAGACGTAAACACAAAGCTCGACCCGCCGACACATCAGCATCAGCGAGCTGTCGCTTTCAGCCCCATTTCCTGTTTCAGCTGTTTGGTGGTTGTTGAAATGTTGTGAGGTTTATCCTGAGATTCTGGCGTTTCGGGCAAAAGTAATTTATATTCATTGAATATAAATCGATATCACGTTATCCGAGCTAGAATCGGTTCCCTCAGGCTGCAACGTAAAATAAAACAACAGATTATAACCAGAGAGGGGCAGGAACACATCTCTGTAACCTGATTACTTTTTTCATGTAACAAGTAAGGGATTACAATTGCAAAAAAGTAATTAGATTACTGTTACTTTCCCGTAAGTCGTCTTATTTTAAGCTCGTCTGTTTACAATGGATGTAACTTTAATTGTGTAATGGTGTGTCACACATTCCCTGTGTAGGTACCTCTTAAGTTTATCTTCTTCTCTGGTCGTAAAAGAATCTGAATGTACAAACAT